TAACCAGCGGTTAGAGATACGTGGCGATATGGCGTTATCTTAAACAGTGCTCTTCATACATCCCAATCGCTACCAGAATTCTCCACCGTTTTAAGGATGGAGGTTCATCCTTCGTTTTGGAGTTAACAAAACTCCTGTGCTCAGTGTGGGAAACAGTACAGGTTCCAACTGAATGATGTGAATCTGTCATCAAACCGATTCACGGAAAAGAGACAGGTCTAGTGAAAACTACGAAGGAATTAGTTTAATCAACATCTAAACTTATCGCTTGTATCGTGTTCCATCGATTGTCTGCCGCACGTGAAAGGGGGATGCGTGCAAACCAGGCTGGTTTTGTAACTGGTCGGGGTTTTATCGACAACATCTTCATCCTTCGTCAAATTCTAGAACACACATTCTTTCCATGGACCCACCGTTTCTATCTTCCTCGATCTGAAAGCGACTTTCGACTCAGTCGACCGCTCTAAACCCTGGCGCTGTCTCGCTCTAAAGGGTCTGCCCGAGAGGTATATTTCAACATCACAATCCCTTTATACTAAAAGCGGAAGCCGAGCCGATCCTTGACAGCGCTCAGTGAAGTTTGCCTCACTGTATCTCGCTGTACGATGATGATGATGGTGATGATGAAGCCGAGTCAGAGCTTATGGCGATTTTTCACCCGAGTTCACTACAGAAAGCGGTGTTCGTCAGTTTTACCCTCCCTCCGTTTCTATTTAATTTTGTCATAGACTTAATTCTTGGGACGGTCCTATCCTCATGCGAGGATAGCGGTATCAATTTACTCCCATGTGGCAGGCTGTCTGACCTAGAGTATGCAGACGACATTGTGCTTCTAGTAACTGAAGATCCAGGTAAGTTGCAGGCTTTTCTGAACAGTTTAAGTGCTGGTGTAGCCATGTTCTGTATACGTTTTGCACCCTCAAAGTGTAAAATATCGCTATAAGATTTGGTTGATCCAGCCATTAGCGTCACCATTACCGGGCAGCTATATCCCACTTGGTGGACGCGTTACGGATAAAGTGTCGGCATGCATACAGATGGCTTGATTTGCATTTGCCAACTTGAGACATCTGTGGTTTTGTCGCGACATTCGGCCGTCCGGGAAGGGTCGAGTGTATGCTACTGTAGTTCGGCTGCTTCTACTATGTGGGGCAGAAACTTAGCCATT